ATTTTGACATTAAATTGTTTGGTCTTGAGCTTCTTGATTTATTTATTTTTTTGTTGGGTTATCTTTGCCTCATATCTCATATTAAAAGTTAGTTGAATTAACTTGAGTTAACTTATTTATTTTATTTTATTATTTACCATTGAATTACTGATTATTGAGTTTGTTTTATTAAATATTATTTAAAAGAAAATGCATGCGTAATGAGTTTTTTTTTTATGTGGGGTGTTGAAGTTAACTCGAGTTAACTTGTATTTCTTGACAAGTTTTTTTTATTTAACTTTAGTATTTTTTACCAAGTACTTCTTTTGAAGGTTTGATTTTTTTTCTTGATTTTTTATATTTTTTTCAATTTCATCGTTTTGCGTTGAATAATTTGGTTTTCTTTTTGTTTGATTATTACAATGATGAATTGTTAAAATTAACTCGAGTTAATTTATATTTTTTGTTTGGTTATGATTTCTTTTTGGTTTTATTTCTACTTGTTGTTTTGGTCTTATATTATAAATACATTTTGATCAATGTAACCCAATTTATCTTGGGTTATTATTATTTGAATATTATTTTTTTATCTTGAAAAAATTTAGATAAGCTCAAGGCATAACACGAATAATTTATTTAGTTGTAGAAAAATTATAATTATAGCTAAAAACAAGATCACATGTATAATGAGAAATGTATTTATAATTTAACAATACAAATAATTATAAAAATCTCACTATAGTTTCATATGAATTTCACTTTCTCTTTGTAATTCTATACATTACTTTTATAAATTACATTTTTCATCGTGTAATTTATATATTCAATAACAATTTAAATTTTTAACAATATATTTTGTTTGAATTTTTTATTTGATATAGCATATAAAATATAATTTATAGTAGTACAATGAAAAAATAAAATTTAAATAGCTTACATATCAGTGCACAAAAAAAATAGCACGCAGTTATATGTTTATATTATGCAAATCTAGACATGTATACATAAATGTAGAAAAAACATATATTTTTAATTATTTAGTAAACAATTTTGTGCTGTAAATGAACTGGTTGACACGTGCTGACTGAAGACGAGGTCGTTTAGACTAACCAAAATCCTTTTTTTTTTAAGCTCAAAACACAATCAGTCCAACTAGATTGAATTGACCGAAATTCAAACGAATAAAAGGGTAAATCTGATGAAATAATTATCATAGAGGGTGATTTGTCAATAACAGAACAATAGAAGGACTAAATTAAGAAATCCAAAACATCCACTCACCTCTCCCCAAAACTCCTCTAGCCTGCCACAAGGAATAAAGAGAAGGCAGGCAACAGAGAGGGGGAGAGAGAGATAAAAAAAAATAATTAAAAATAAATAAATAGCGTCGAAACGACTCAACGAATCCCATCCCACAGCATCCCTATTTTCTCTCTTCCTTTTTATTTGCCCCAATAATTTTATTATTTCCTCAAAAAAGAAAAAAAATGTTCTCTCTCTCCCGCCTATAAGCAGCAACCTCTCTCTCTTACCAGTCTCGATCTCATCGCCTTAGCTTTCGATTCGACTTTGTATAGTAACAACAACAAACCCTCCTTTTATTTTATTTCCTTCCATTTTATTTCAAGGTACGCACGCCTCTCTCCCTCTATTTTTTATTTTTGTAAATTTTATGGATTTTTTCTTATATCGGAGTGTTGTATTTTTTTTAACATTATTTTCGGATGAAATCTGGATCTTAGATGGATGGATGGATGGATAGATAATTGGAGAGAAGAAATCTGGATCTTAGATGGATGGATGGATAGATAATTGGAGAGGAGCATGTGGGTGCAATCGTAGCTTTATTTTTTTAAATGAAAAATTAGGTGTCAGTTTCGTACAAAAGTGTGCTTGGGCTTTGCTTTAATTTATTAATTAAAAAAAGGGAATCTCTGACTTTTTTTTTTAATTTTTTTATTTATAAATGTTTGTATCTGGAATGAATCAGATGATGCCCATTGCTGCACCCTTCAACTAACTCGCTCGTCTTTTGATCTAGATTTGCACTATTTACGAACCTAAGGTTGGTTTATTTTTCTCTGTTCATTTCTGCCTAATTCTTCCATTTTGTAGATGGTTTTGTTTTTTATTTTTTTTAATCTTGTTTTTGGTGCATTTGTGCGTTCATTTCGTAGATGGGTTTCGTTTTTAATCTTGTTTTTGGTGCATTTGTGCACTATACATTCTCATTTCAGAAATGGGTTTTGTTTTTTTATCTTGTTTTTGCTACACCTGTGCGTAATTCTTTCATTTCGTAGATGGGTTTTGTTTTCAATCTTGTGTTTCGTGCATTGTACTTTATCGTTTCGGAAATGGGTTTTGTTTTTTTATCTTGTATTCGCTACACCTGCACGTAATTCTTTCGTTCATTAGATCGGTTTCGTTTTTAATCTTGTTTTTGGTGCATTTGTGCATAATACTTTCTCGTTTCGAAGATGGGTTTTGTATTTTATCTTGTTTTAGCTCCATTTCCTTGGTTTTCTTGTTGAATCCAGGGTGTGAAATTTGGTCTTTGGTTGGTGATATTTGGATTTGATATTTGACTTTGATTTTCTACTCTCTCTTGAATGAAGTACATTTAACATGATCAGGCCTCAAATAATCTTCTGTCTCGATTCCTTAAAATTTATTGGGGTTTAACTTTGTATTTATCAAAAATTTAATGCTGGTCTCATTGTGTAATCTGTGTTTCCTACAATGTATAATGTGCATCTACTCAATTGGACCTTTTTTTTTTCAAATGTATGATTCTGGAGTTGGTGTAGATGCACCAGGTTTATTTTGTTTTAACCGGATTCACTTGTCATAGGATCTGCGTTTAGGTGATCTGAAAGTCATTTGCATATTCTAACATTTGCATATTCTAACGCGTGATAGTATTGGATGACCAAAGGTCTAGGGAAGACACATTAAAAAATGCTACAAATGCCGGTTGTTTCGGTTAATTTATGAGGGATGGATGCTACTTAAAACCATTGATCGAATTGAGATTGATGAGGTCATCAGCATCACAAGTTAATCTTTAGATAACCATCCAACTTTGGCCTTCAATGAGAGTAGTTTTGGCTGTAATACATATTTCAGTTATATGTGTTTTTTGGTATTACAATAATGAGAAGCAAAGCCCATAAATATTATTTTGCCACATAGTGATTTGATGTTTACTGGGCAGTTATCCAGGGCTATTTTTTATGTGGCTATAGAACCGGTCACATGGAAAAAATGCAACTTAAAATTTCCTGCATGAGCTTATTGCGTGATTCTTATCTGTTCTCCTTACTTTCCAAAAGGAACGTCTAATACAAGTAGTAGGCTTCAAATCTGTCAATTATTTTGTCCGTGATGGAGGAGTCAAGTGTGTGTCCCTAGCTAGCATGTTGATCAATTTCAAGATAATTTCATGTTGTGCAATTTCTGGCTAAT